AACAGCAGAATTTTCCGCCAACAGTAACGAAAGGATTAAATTCCCACTAAACTCTTGCATCTCTTTCCTTACTCAACTCGTGTACAAATGCTCACACTTCAACATACGACTACATCAATATATTAGCACAACAGTGTGCTAAATAACGCAAAATTACGCAAGTTACCGAAACAATTTCCAAGTAGTACTGCATGATTTTACAGCAAAAGCAGTAAAAAGAACCTTTCCAAGTTCTTCCTTGTATTTTACGACTCCGAGACAGTCTTCCTTGTAACTCTTCACCGTCAAGTGCAATCGTTCAAGGTTGAAATCCACAGAATGCGCATTTTTCTCTCCTCGCCGCGCAATTCTCTGCTCCCGATAAAATTTCGCCGCGCCTAAAACGCAACAGGCCTCGAAATCCTTCAACAATGCGTTATTTTTCTTCTTACGCCAGAGCGCCTCTTGCAAATCCTTCGATCGCCATCGTATTTAATACCGTTTCGAATCGTTTGTTCGGGTTGACGCAACGATCGCTGACGACCTTCCGCGGGATTGCAGAAATTCAATTGAGGGTGTTTTACGGCCGGTTCTTAAGGCGAAGCTGTTCGAACAAAACCGAACTGAAGAGGTCTCCCTCCTCGACCTCTTTAAATTATTAACGTCGCAGGATCTCGCGCTTTTGTGCCGCAAATAAACATTTTTACGCTTCTTATTCCCCGCCCTCTGTCCCCTTTCCTCCGTTCATTGTCATTTGACCGCCGCACGGGGAATCGTGGTAATAACGGCATAAATTAAGACTTTATGTTCGTAAAAAGCGTAAGTACTTTACGTATCCCGTGCTGGAAGTTTTTCGGCGGCTGATTGCGCTGCGACGAATTTCGCGAATTTCAGCTCGGAGCTCTTTTTTACCATAAGGATAATAACGTCGCGGTCTCAATAACGAACCTTGGCGAAAAGAATCACCCGGCGACCAATCGCCGCGCACTTTCATCCTCGTTTACGAGTCTTTAAGAACAATCGGGATCTTCAAAGGATGCCCCCGAAAGTTGTAATCAGCGATTCTCCTTGCGTTATTTCTGCTTGGAAATTGCTATCGTTTGGAAAGTTTGCGACATTTTTGGTGCAATTAGATATTTTCATTGATATCCATCGTATTGTTTAGGATATTGAAGTTCGGTGCAAATACTTTGTAATCGAAATTGAAATCATTTGTAAAGTTTCTCACATTTTTGGTGTATTTTTATTGCACAAAGAATTTAGTGTAAAATTATTGATATTTATAATGAATATGAGGTTTCGTTTTTATATTATTTATTAAAATTGGTAAATGTTTCGAGGAAATTCAGGAAACACTGTTCCATCCCAAGAAACCAAAAACAGTCGTTCTTACAATTCTGCAATCATTTAATAGTGGAGACGACACAAACTACATAATACTAAAATTCGTCAAAATATGTATTACATTTATAATACATTCTCGACTGATTTGCGAAAAAGTAATATCCTTCTCCGTTACTTTCCTAACTTTTCCAACTTCTATTAAAAAATCTCGAATACTTTGAAAATCAGTGCTCTAATCAATCGTCCATCGTTCGCAACAGACGCTTGTTCACTTTCTCCAAAATAATTCACCCAAGATTAATTTGGCGGGAAAAAGTCGCGATCGAGAATTCACATCCCGAGCGCAAATACTAATAGAGAAATTCAATTATACAAAGTACGTATATACGAGAAATTAACTTCACGTAAATATCATCATAACGCACGATAATAAACGGGCGACAATTTTACTTTACAGCACTGTTAAATTATCCCCGTCGTAATGGACAGAAAAAAGCAATCGTTAAACGTCAAACTTGTGTTCAAAAAGTGTTTGTAGCAAGAGGGAGAAGATTCTGCAACAAATGAAAGAAATTTTTGAAATTCCACCGTAAAACTGGCCACGAGCCTAGAAGGCCGTAATATAATAATCGATGATCACAAAAACCAGCTGATTATATTTCTATAAACTTGATTCTTCGGAATGATCACCTTTTTCTTGTACACTTAACGATACGTTCACGATGCGCGAACACAAGGATACTAATTTTTTCCTCCGCTGTTTTTACTCGCGTATCAATTTATGCTTTAATTAACATAAACGATCATTCTCAGAAAATAGTCCGCATTTATTATTTTCTTCTTCCGGAGAATATTTCGTATATAGTTTTTTCCACGCGCAACCTTTTCATTTCTTATTTCAACTCAACTTTTTCGTTTGTCATTTCTGTAAGCTGGACTTTTGCCGATGCTTGTTTGGTTGGAAAATTTTTACGAAAATGAAATATTGTGCTCTGTCAGATGTGAATTGGTTACGAACTCGAGAAACTTTGAGAACGAAATTTCTTTCGGTGTACGAAAAATGTTCAGATTTATGTGGTATGGAAAATTTATTGTTCTACGTTTTCGAAAGAATGTGAATATTACATAAATTGGAGTGATTTTTCTGAATGTACATCCGGTAAGAAATGTCCTTCGAAATTGCATACCTAAAATCACATTGTCAAAGTCTTCGGTTATCTTAATTTCCAACTCTTGAATACATGAATACTAATCGAAATACCGAACGGTTTTATAGTGCCTTTAATTCCTTTCTATGTTTGAGTTATCTTGCTAGAAAGAAACAAATTTAGATTGTAACTGTATTCATTCTTGCTTGCAGTAATTATTCAATAAAAAAAAGTTACTTTGCAAATTTAGAACCACACTAAATGCATATACTACTTGTTTATTTTCGTATTACGTAGGGTTTCAGATTTATTAATAAAATAAAACCTACTTTCTCGTTCCAAAAGAATTGATCGGTCACAGCTCTTGTGATAATGAATTTATTTTGAATTCGGTAACTTTTATTAAATTTAGGAGAAACGTCAAATTTATTCAATAACTGAATACGTCACTGCAATCGATTTTATGAATCATAGTGTCCAGTATTGAATAATAAATATCAATTTGAAAATTAAATTGTGATCGTAAAAATATTGACCGATACAAAATTTGTTTTATAATTAAACCTACATATTACTACACTCGATTTTGGGATTTGTGATCACAGTAACACAGTAGTATTGAATAATAAATGTTAATTAAATCACAATCGTGAAAACGTAGATCAAGACAAAATAAATTCGATTTTATGAATGCTGTAGTATCGAACGATAAATATTAATTTCGACGCAAAATTTATTTCATTCTTAAACATTTATCCGATATCGATACAAAATGTGTTCAACAATATTGAATACGTTACTACAAGAACTCGTTCCTCACAACGAACGGTAACTTCGAAAGCAGCAACGTCTACGCAAGTTCCACAAGAACACTTCAAACTTCTCGTACTCGACCATTATTCTCCCCGTATCGTACGAAATGAACGCTATTACCCGGCAATGCAAAAGCACTTTGACGTGTCCCTTGACGAATGCGTATTCCCAACGTGTAACGAAGTCCAGCAATTTTTACGCACTCTTTAGAAAATGAGATGTTTGGAAAGATAACAAGGTGACAGCTATGAAGCACGAGTTAAAGCTCCCCCGGCGTAATAAGCTGCACCTCTTTCCCGTACTTTACAACGGCCGTAACGTAATTTATAAATTGCTCGGATGCACCTGGCGCGACCTTCGTGTGTCGAGAATGGTCAGACGCGAAGGCGCTTTATCGTTCGCTCGCGGATTGAAAAATAAACGTGGACCTGTACATGTTCCGTGTGTCCTCGGATCGTAAAGTACTTACGAACTTGTTCACCGATTCCACGTGGCTTTAATGGGCCCGCAACAGTTCGTCCAACTTTTACACTTTGCACTTTACAAACACCCGAGTGGAACACCCATCCACGATGCGTATCTCGACGCACGGCGATAACGGACACTTTTCATCCAACAGTTCCACCGTCTTGCTTACTTCCCGACCCTTGGCTGGGGGTTTCGTAGATACCGGTTCATACCGAGAGTACTGTGTCTCGTTGCTTGGTTATTTTCAGAAGTGAGGTCCTTCGTATCTCGCTTCTCGAGTTGCGAACTCTTTCTGCGCTGTCCGCCATGTGGGATTCTCGCGTTTGATGGTCGAGTGATGTAGTAAGAGAAACGTTTTTATTTGTTGAACATTGGAGACAGTAGATAAGGAAGGAGAATTTGGAGGAATAATTTTAGTGTTTTATGTAAAGGTGTATGCAATGAAACTGATACGGGAAGAAAATATGTTTATTTGTTGTACATTGGAAAAATAAATAAGAAACAAGAGTTTTGTAGCTCCACGAGACGTAAAGTTAAAGAGTACGTTAGAGCGGAGTGAATAAAATAACGGAGAAATATCGTGGTATGAAATATTCCAATGAAATCACTTAGTGAAAATAAAAATTCGCGTTGCACAGTTAATATTCAGAAATGTAATAGAAATTTAGATTAAAGAAATGCTAAAGTCAGAATGAAAAATATATTTACTACACTGAAGGTGTCAAGAAATTCGTACTTCTTATCAGTAACATGAGAATTATACTACGTCACCATATATGACACTTGTAAAGCGAAATAAAATTTTTACTCCCGCAAATTGGTTTTATACTCTTCAAATGGGAAAATTGCATTTACATTAACATTCTCATTACGAGCACCTCGCAAAACGAGGATAAGACAGCATTTATTATACCATTAACCCTTTGAGGACGATGGGCTCACATATGCATTCACCAAACACCATGAAACACACATTTTCAAGCAGTAAAAACTATTAACATAGCCATGAACTCGTGAACGTACATTTTTGATATCGTTAAGCCTCCAAAAAAATTCAAACAGTAATCAATATTTCGATATAATACACAGTCCCTCGTTCACAAAGGGTTAACCAAAAACAGTATACCGAGAATAAAACCATGAAATATAACGTTACTTTAAAAGCTTACATTATTCCGCATTATCTTTAATCACACCGTTGTTCCACGTTTTTCTTTGCATTCCACTGAACGACCAAACATCTTACAGGTACTGCTGCAGGCGGCACTGGTGTGGGACGAAGTACGAGGTGCTCCAGCGAAGAGGAACGACATACTCGCGGGCACGGAATTCCTGTCAGTTTTCATAAACGGCGCCATGGCCACGCCGCCCCAGCGACGCAGAGGCTTCAGACGCGGAGGACAAGCGACGTCTTCGGCCGGAGACAGCGCTACAGCGGAGTCGCATCAGCACGAGGCCTCGATCTACCGAATATCGCGGAATCCAGGCAACAGACAGGTCGTCCCGAAGGCGCGGAACTCCAGTGGCCGGGAAGAGGTCGTTCGATTTTATCCGATAAGTCACAAAACGTTGGAGAACAGGCAACAGAACCTAGCGTCGTTGATCGACGAACTGAGCACCACCAGCGACATATCAGCAACAAGGTTAGCTGTTCAAAGTTCGACGAGTACGACGACAGCAACGTCGGTAACGCCTCGCGAGAAGTTGCCCTCGCGAACGAACGCTACCAACAGCTCTTCCTCGAACAAAGGAGTCAGCCGGCAGAAGGTCATAGGCGTCAGCGTGACGTCCACCGTGGAAGCTACGCCGTACAAGGTCAGAGTGGAGCACTACGACAGCGCAGACGCGACAGTCGTCACTCGACCGCCGAATATCGCTACCAGTTTCTCCAAAGACGTCACGAAAGGACTGAAGAATGCCACCACTAGGGCTCCTACGACCAAGTCGACGAACTCTAGTACTATAACAGGCACGACGACTACTACCAGCACGTCGACGACGACGACTACTCCTAGATCGTCGTCGACGATCACCTCGCCACCCTCCAGCTTCGTCACGGAAGAGCTGAGCAACATCGTGTCCGAATCGAACAGGAGCGAGTTCTCCGTCGAGGAAGGTGCGCCGAGCACCAGTTGGCGAGGTCAGAGTTCGGTGACACCTGAACCGGTGACCAAGCACACTCCCACGTTCGCCGAGCATCAGAGGGAGTCGAACAGCAGTACGAGCGACGTCCCGGAGGACATGATCACTCTGCCGACGGAGGAGAACTACGAGTTGCCGGAGGAGAACTCCGAGTTGAAGGAGTTCAACGAGGAGCAGACGGAGATGCAGTCGGAGCGTTTCCAGGCTCAAGGTCGTAAAGCGGGCAGGCACTACGACGCGTCGCACTACAATCGTCCAGGCACCAAGGTGTACGCTCAGTCGTCGAAGAGCTACAAGTCGCCTAGGCCGTACAGCGAGTCGTCCAAGGTGTACAGCGAACCGGCGAAAGTGTACGGTGAACCGGAGAAGGTGTACGGAGAGCCGTCGAAGGTCTATAGCGAGCCGGCCAAGGTGTACAGCGAGCCGGCTAAAGTGTACAGCGAGCCGGCTAAAGTGTACAGCGAGCCGGCCAAAGTTTACGGCGAACCTGAGAAAATCTATTCGGAACCGTCGAAGGTGTACTCGGAGCCGGCCAAGATTTACTCCGAGCCGTCGAAGGTGTACTCTCAGCCTGCTAAGGTGTACAGCGAGCCTAGCAAGCTTTACAATTCCGAGGGTCAGCCGTTGAGTCACGAGCGCGGTGGAGAGCCTAACGAGGAGAATTACGAGGTAGACGAGTCTGCCAGCGTGAGCAGCAACGGAAATGTCCACGGGCCGCAGTTGATGCTCACCGAGCCTTCGAACTCTTCTGAGGTGGAGGACGGGCACAAGGTGGGCTACGTGGTCGAGGGTAGAAACTATAGGAAGTACAGGGTCGAGGAGAGAACTCCGGACGGTTTCATCGTTGGTGAATACGGTGTGGTCAGCCACGACGACGGTTCTCTGAGAGGCGTACGGTACACCGCAGACGGTACCATCAATCCTCGGCTCATTTACGACGCACTGATGAAGTTCCTTGCTCTGTGAGAGAGAGACACGCGAGGATGAAAAACGGTGGAGAGGACTGTGTTAACGGAGGCGAGTCGACGAGTCGTGCGGCTTTTCCTCGAAGCCGGCAGGACAAAGACGAAATGACTGATCTTTTCAACTGCTCTTCCCAACTCAACTGCCTCAGAAAGTAATTTTAAGCACCGAGCTTTTTAGGATCTAAGGGAGCTCTCGCGACTGCCCAGCGATCGTTAATGCAAGATCGATCTACGAAGACACGCGTTTCTGATTGTTTCGTTTGTTTCGCCGGGGGAAGCGGAAATTGAGAGGGCACAAGTAGGAACGGAGAGAAATTGTGCTTTTCCACGATGGGTTCGATGAAATTTGCAACGAATCGTTTTGTCACTCTTTCGACGACTAGCTGACGCTTGATGAGCAAGCAGGTAGTGATTAAATTGTTTCTCTTACTTGAATCGCTGATCTTCGCGTGCTTTACACGTACACGGGTACATTGAGATATTCTCCGAAGATTATGTTGTATATCGCATAAGTAATTACGGTAATTACGATAATTAATAACAGACACGAAGCTAGAGAGATGACTTGAGAATTACTCGAGAAGAAATTAATAGTATCGTACAACCACGTTCTGGTTATCAAACGAATACTGCGTATGACATAATATTTATTTCCACATGTACAAGTGTAAATCCTCCGATCGTTAATTTTGTAGCTAACTAATTACTTATTCTGTGAGAACGACGACGAAAATTCTTATTTGCTGATGTAACGTATCTTCTCACGTTGTGCTTGTGTACCGAAGCCCTTTAACACGTTCGCTGCCACCAGAAAATCGCGAGGAACGTTCCGTGTGCCATCGATTCATACTTTTAGCCAGACGCATCATTTTCGCTATAATTTTCACGGTGATAGTCGTCGATCGCACAGTGGTGGTATCGAGTTTTGATTGTCGCGACGATCACTGTCGACACAGTATCGACAATGGCACACGAGGCATGCCATTCCGTGTCGACAATGCTTCGACGGTGGCAGCGAGGGTGTTAGGTGAATTTCAAATAAGAGAGATTATTCGGCTAGTGAATTGGAATATCGTATTTAGAATTGATCCTGTCTAGAAATGTGATCGTTGAAGACGCGTTGCTTAACGTCGACAGGATTCAATGTCAGATATGATTTTTTGGTGAAAAAAAAAAAAAAACATGGTACACCGAAGAGTTTCACAGATAAGCAAGCTGCTTGAGCTCGTTAGCGTGGGTAGTAATCTTCAGTTGGTCGTCGCTACGTCGTTTCTAAGGTCTGGAAAAGGTCACAGCGATCCTTCCGCTAACTTTGCGATCGACTCTTTCATCAGAGAGATTGAAATTACAAAGAATACGAAGTTGAGGATTATTTATCGGCGATTACTAGAAGAAAACTGAAGTACTCGATGCGAAGACCAGGCTTCTAACGATCCCCCTTTCTTCATAAAACGGATTCTATCTGATGTTAAACGTAACGTAAACTATAGCGAACGTCGTTTCGTTCAGTTGCAGAACGTTTGTTCTGTGAACTATGGAAACAACCGTTTAGTGTTCGAGATGTTAGAAGCAAATTGGTTCTCGTGAAAAAATTTGTATACATTTTATTTTTTTATTAGGAACTTTTCTGTCAGGATAAGGAAGATCGTCAGTAGTCATTGATCTTATTATTATCCTTCGGTTTCGTAATTGTTGCTCTGTTTCGTTATTATACGGCAATAGCTGAGATTGAAAAGAGATTAAGATTGAACGTTGAAAGAAATATTCCGCATAAATTTAACAAGTTTGACGAAGGAACTTAAATTTTTAATTGTCCAGTAATGATCGTTCATCCATCTTTCAAAAATTTTTCGAAAAAGGAAACATATTTACTAAATAGGCAGCGTTTGCTTGCATGAATGAAATATAAATTTCTCTTATCTTTGAAAAATTGCTGATCACAAGAGGCCATTATTTAGGTTCCTTTCAACAAACAGATATTTCATATTCTTAATCCATAGCGTGTGTCTAAAATTCAACAAATCTCTGCATCATTCGACTCTATGTAGAATGCAATTGAAAAAAAAAAAAGAAAATGAAAACTTATTTTCACGAGTACTATATGCTACTAAATCTCGATCGATCACCCTGAACGCAAAAGTTATTTCTCCCCACGTACGCACACAGACATACACGGTGGACAGATTGAAAAGGAACCACACGGAAGAAAACACGAGCGCAGTCTCGAAAAGTTGGAAATATCGCGGAGAAAAGCAAAAGTGACGATAATGCGAGATACATTTTTTGAGGGACTCCGTTGGGACGACGTCCAAGATGGCTGGCTCTGAAAGCGGCGCGACGACGTCGATGAAACAGAAAAGAAAAACGACTGATTCTTTCGCTCTTGCCAACGCAACTGCCTCAACGATTAATTTTTAAGGACGGCCTTCCAGGATCTCTCGCGCGTGCTCGCTTATGGTTGGGCGTCAGCGTGCGTGTCCATTTAGTTGGTCGGAGACGGAAAAAGGTCGCTGGACGATTCGATCGGACCGAAACAACGGTGGAATTCGATGCGACGCGCTGGCCGTTGCGAAACGTTGACAAATGAAAGTGACTCGTTTGGGTAGCGAAAGTTCGAACTTTTATGTTACTACCCGATGGCCTTTGACGATTGTGTTACACGAAACACCTCGAGCCGCGTCCGAGGTAAATTCTTTTTCCCTTCGTCTAGCAATCAAGAATGTTCCCTGTCGCCTCACGAGGTGGAGATCCTCGATCGTAGCGCCTCGTATATAGTTGCGTAATTTTGTTTGTGATCGCGTTAATCGCAAGTGTGTTTTTCCTATGGGATTCTTTTTTTTTTTTTTTACGACTGGAAGCATGAATGGAGAAACGACACGGTGTTTGGTGGTTCAGTCGACGATTCTGCTGCTACTATGTTGATTATTATTGCGACGAATACCCTTGTTGCGATCGTATGCCTGTTTAATTCGTTCGTTTTTATTGTAATTTACTGTTCTACCTTCTTCAGTTGAAATATCCTATCTGCCAATTTTTCATTCTTCACGGTGTTTGATAGTATTGGAGCTCTACGGAGTTTTCACGTGTTAACCCTTTCGTGAGCAGAGGATCGCATGTGTCTTACTTGAGTATTCGAATGAAAATTGATAGATAAATAAGAAATTAAAAAAATATATATTGCGGTCACGAAAGGGTTGAGCAACGTTAGAATGTCCTGTTTGTTTTGGAGGGCTCTAGAAGCAGATCTATTTAAATGAAATGTTTTAAAGATGGTTTTATTTGATGAAACCTCATTTTTCTTTAATGTCCAAAAATGTCGGTTAGAATAATTAAGCTAAGGAGGGCAGAAAATTGAACGAATTCAATGGAGTAATTTATGAAATGAATAAGTGAAATGCGAATGGATAGATCCTTGTCTCTCGTGCGCGAGATTTGAATCATTGTTTAATTATCCAAAGGTTGTTTGAAACCGAGATTCTTCGAAAGTTCCAATGATATTTTTGCTTTTAAATAATATTAAAAGCAATATTATATTGAATATTCTGAAGCAAGCAAGAAAAATACTGAATTTTGCGCCTTGATCATTTCTACATATACTAGAACCTAAATAAATAAGGGTATTACTTAAAATATCGAGTCCTATGTAAATTCCAGCGATGAGCAAATTAATGGTTCTGAATTCCACAAGTTTTTAATTTACCATAGAAGATTCATTCTAACTATTGTTAAGTTACACGAATTTTCGAAACGAAAAATAAAAGTGCCTTGTACGTAAAAAAAAAAAAAAAATTGGAGAAACAGCGAGAAAACGAAGCAGCGAAATATCCGAACGAATCGACTGAACGTGTTTGTCGCGTGCTTTCGTCACGGTGACGCTTCTGCGATGAAAAAGCGTATCGAGAAGTCGCAGCTGCCAGGGCCTCCACTTTGAATCATTTCACGAATCTAATTTAATTCGATCCAACTTTCTGCGATCGACAATCGAAGGCTCCGCCGCTGCGACGGACCTGCTGACTTGTCACGGCAGCGTCTCTGTGCACCTTTTACGATAATAAGGTTTCTGCTATAGGATTTTAAGACGTTCCCGCGTCAAGGAAGTATCTCATTCGACGAGAAAAACCGTAGACTCTAAGACGATAACGTTATTTTATTTAGAATTAAATAGCTCATTCTTCCTCATTACCTCAATTTTTGAGATAGTTCCTCCTGCCATTTAAATAACGTGTCACGCGCGTACTCACCTTAAATTATACGCACGGTCTTGATCGTTCTCTCATGTATATACGCTGCTGTTCGTAAGTATTGGGACACTTATTATGTTCGTGCAGAGAGTGTTGCATTTCCTCGGCAATGTTAGTATCTAATCGTCATTTTAATTCTGCATTTAGTAGAATCTATTGGATATATGGGAGTTGATTTTGAATTTATCTTTTGATATTTTAATATTTCCTCTTTTAATATTTCTATACTTTAATATTTTTAAATTTCAATATTTATATTTTAATACTGCCAGAGTTCTCTACTTTTAGCATACCGCATTTGCAAAGAAACATACAGCATATCTGATACACTTATCCAGAAAATGTCAATTTACGGAAATTAGGGAATTAAGTGCAACGAAAAGGAGAAAAATTCAATCGTTGCCTTTTTTAACCCTTACACTGTTTACACCTACTTCACATGCAACAGGTGTCTCGATAATTTCGTAACGATTGTTTACATTTAATTCACATTCAACAGGTGTCTCAATACTTACGAACAGGAGTGTACGTCCGTTCGAAGCTTTTCTCATCGACGAACAGGAAAAGTATACATAATCCCGAACGGTCGTATCGTTTGGTCGTGTCGAATCAATGAAACTCGTTCGTTCGAATGTTGCTCATCCTCGTAGGATAAGTGCCGCCGCGTTCATCGCCTCTATTTTATATGTAAGCGGTAAAGTTTTCCGATACGTTACACGTGATACCATTTTACGATTAAGGACCCTCTTACTTCTAAGCG